ACATTATTTTGAAAGCTAGGAAACTATTGGAAGGAAAAAGAAGACACAATTTAGGTGAAGACTGAGGTTACATTATCAAAAACTTTAGCAAAGATTTCTGAAAATGAGTCATTGTAATCATTGATGTGACACCTTAATGTAATGGCAGTAAGTACAAAATTGAAATTGCAACACTGAGTTCCATATTTGTTTATAGACATGACTTTGTTGATTGTAGATCTTTCAAAATGTGTTTTCATTGCATGAAGACAATATCCCCTCCAAAAAATAAGAAAAAATATGACTATTTTTTTATTTATAAAAATATAAAATTAAGGGAACATTGGCAAGGAGTCAAGCTAAATTTAGAATCATAAAAAATCTGTGGGACAGGGGAATAAAAAAATAGACAAGAAAAAATACGTAACATATAATACAAATTTTAAAAAAGTGCACTAAAACTAAATAAAGCTAGTACTGGCTATTTTATAGTAATGGCTAATAGAGTAATTGAACACTTAATAAATGCCAGACAACATACTTGACACATTCTGTTTATTTCTAACAACCTTTCTCACAAATGGGAGTGAATATTATTCACATTTTAGATTTAAGGAACTAGGTTTCACATGAGCTAATAAATCACCTACGCAATATATTTTGACCTGTCTTTTCACTTGACTTTATATTGTAAGCTTTTTCCAAGTTACTAAACTGTACTTTAAAAATCTTAAGGACATAGAGTATGGCTATTTAATTATGTAATAATTATGTAAACAGATCATGTTATATACATCTAATCCCCAATTACTGCATACTCACCAGCAATGATAACTTAATTGTTCAAACGTTGCTAATTATATAGACATCATGCAAGATTCAAATTAGAAAAATAATCATATTATTGAAACACATCTTATTTTTAAAATTTATATCCCAGGTTAGTTTTTTAAATCTTTAAGCCCACAGTGAATCAGTATAATGAAATATAATTATCCTTAATCAACCACTTTTATTAATTTAGAGTGGCAATTTTCTTTCCATGGTCACTAAAACAGCAGTTTTCTAAACAAGTCCAATCTCTCCATTTGCCCCATCCTACACACACAACTCCAGAACATTTGGCCAAGGGGGTCCAAACTGCCAGCATACATACATCACTTGGAAAATCTGCACCCTCATCTTTCCCTCCCCAAATCCCATTATCAGAGGCAGATACAAATTTTACTCACTATTCAAACTGATAATGACACAGCTACTTGAGAACATCCCTTAAATGATCCTTTAACTGTGGAACATCCCTAATGATACTGAGTTTATCTCCATCCCCAGCAGCTCCCTTGGATTTCAGAAATCCCTGAGGCTTTAAAGGTTAGGCTAAGTGGACACTGATGAAATGTAAGGGTGACAATGTAGAGAGGTAGCACACCTTTTGTGTTTTTTTTTAAAAGGACAGTAGAGGGATTCTCTACCCATGGTAGAGGGGAGGGCATTTATTTTCTGTATAATTATATCCGCTAGAACATTCTAAAAAAGAAAAGCCTTGGCCCCAAATACCAACCATGTAGAAATACTTCTGTTGTATAAACAGAGAGGCAGCTAATACTTTTTAATGAAGACAGAAGTATGCAGAAAACAATTACATTTATTTTCAATGACAGTTTACACCAAACTAATTGAAAGTAAAACTAATTAAACAAGAAAACATCAATTAGGTATCTATTATCTCTCTTGTATACTTATATTGTTTTATTGCCCATATTTCGTAATTGTTGCCAAGCAGCTTTTAAATCCTTTCCTTAGTTTTCCAGAGAAGAAACTGAGAAGTGTTTTATGTTTTGGACTCCAAGGTGTTTTGCTAGGTACACTACTGCTGAAATTAAGCCCTTTTTACAAGCAGGTGTTCTTGGTACATTTGATTTTTAAAACATCCCGATCTATTAGAAATATTTGACTTCATGGAGATCTAGTTCTTGAAAATTAATAATTGTAGTTGCTCATGAGCACTCTGTTTATAGAGTGGCCAAATCTAAACCTAACCATTACCATGAACACCATTTCCCTACTCTCCTCACTGTAAGGAAGAGAGACAACAACTTTTAAAACAAGGTGGTTTCAATGGTAAAAGAAGCCAAGATCATGCTATTTAATGGCATCAGTGAGAATGCAGGTAAAAAAGGAATGAGGCATTTGAGTAAGTGGTTGCTAGATCTTGAAATGCTTTCAACTTTTTCTCAACCTTCCTCCCATCTTCCCCTTTCTGGAACTAGCTATCATTAGGTGATAAATTTAATTGAAGAACACTGTTTTTAAAAATAATAAGTCACAAAAACTTATATGTTGTTTCATACAGAAGAAGTTGTGCTGGATATGTAATTCTAGATGTAATATGAACTTTGGCTGGTGGAGGACTTATCCTTATTCTTCAATGCCCTTATTCATGACCCTACTCCTTTTGATATCTTTCCACTTCATTTAGCCTAATAATAACAATAGCCTAGTCCTATTCATAATGAAATTCTACTTCATTTTTGTTAGTACATGATAAAACATTATACCCATTGTCTGGACTTTTATAGCCACAATCTCATTAATATTTATAATGATCCTGAGATAAATTCTAAGAATTACTTAAACATCTTTAAAATCATGTATCAGAGGTTCAGAAAGATTATAACTACTCCCAGACTTACAAGCTTGGAAAACATGTAAGGAGATGCGAGAATTCTTTCTATTACATTTCATTTCTATTACATCTTCCATAAGCCTGTCTTAAAAACCATACTCTCATTGATTTCTCCTGGAATTTTTTCATATTTATGGAAAAGACACACGATTTAGCACTTGAAGACTAGCTTGCATTACTCTGAAATGAAGTCTCTGGCTCCTTTTACCTCTTAAATCAGATTTTAAACTCTTCAAAGATTAACATCATTTTTGCCAGCTCTTTAATACCATAATGGACAAAGGGTGTAGGTATGAGAATGACACTCCCTTGCCTAACAGAATCTCTATAACTCTCTACAGATCTAGATCTTCTACTAGATCTTGCTTCTGCTTCCTACTGTATTTTTCAGTTTTTCATAGGTTTTGGTTATTTGCTCTGACTTGCACATCTGGAGTCTAATCCTCATACCTGTTCACCTGCTATGGTTCAACCACCCAATAATAATCTTTGATTATTTGGCCCGTTTGCCTGTAATGACATTTACCTCGAGCCTTAGGTTTTTAAGTTGGTCACACCTTCAGACTGAGCTGATGACATAACTATGTACCCTTTCTGGACATGCGGTTTAGACAGACTTTTTCTTCCTTGACCAACTTTGGTCCATGATCTAGCATTAGCAAAGCATGCTTAGGGCTGAGAAAGCAGACCACATGCAGTAAAACCTCTACTTACAGAAACTCCACATCCCTTCCTACTAGGGGCTCCATAGTGACCCATGATTTCCTATTTTCTTCTACAGCCATTAAATACGTCTAGTTTTCTAGCACTTTCCCTAAGAAATTAAGAGGAAGAAATGTGTCAGATTTATCTTTGTAGCAGAATGTCCATTCGTGAAATTGCTGTTGTTACTTAATTGGTAAAACGGTAGGTTATCTGTGGAGAAGATAAGTGTTCCAAGGAAACGGTGTGACAAAAAGCTAAAAGAACTTGTTTAGAATTATCAAATACATCATATTTATTTTGCCTGTTGGGAGAAGTTAACGTCTTTTGCCTAGAATAGGTCTCCACCACCGAGAAGTAAATGGCTGGTCCAACCCAGGAAACCAGAAACACATTTGAGTTATATTGAAATTGGCTAATGGTTCAAATTCTTTACTGGTCATTGTTAGTTACAATAGGAAAGAACATCTGTCTACTTAATACATGATTGATATTGAAAAGTCTTTGGCATAATATCCAAGAGTACTTTTATGATAAATTTGGCTAGGTTTCAGAATGCAAGTTCACAGCTAACTAGCAGGACTCAAAAAAGATGTAGAAAGTTGTATAACAACTGCAGTTACACTGAAACTAATATATACCATTTTAGAATATATTTAACTGGAGAAAAGTCTCTTCTTAAAATAGTCTCTTAGCTGAGATGATGCTTTTTTAGTCTGTAGCCCCCAGGAAGTTCTTTCTAGTTACCAACAGCATATTTGATAAGAGCAGACTTCTATCTAATTCTTAAGCATAATGAGGCCAATTTTCTTTTACAGGAAGATACTGAGAGCATTTGACATACTCTCTCCAAGTTATTACCATAGAGTCTCATATTTTACAATGTGCAAGAATCACTGAAAGGGTAGAATCACCGAAAGGGTAATATCCTTATAGAGCATCCAATGTAAATTTCCCATGTAAATCAGGAAATTTCGATATGGCTGGTTTGTCATACTCATGATTCTGCCATATACACTTTGAGACCACCTCCCCAAAAGTACTACATGTTTAGAATATGGGTCACCAAGAGATGTGCACTCTAGACAACCTAACAATATCGCTGACTCTATCGCTTCACTGTTCTCGAGCCCCACTGCGAGCTCCAGTGTTAGCCCTCAAGGCAATCAAAAAATGGTTGAAACCACTGTCCTAGCCATCTCATCCAGGGCTCCCGAGTCAGGGTTGGAATTTTCTGTAGTGCGTAGACGCGGGCCCACACGGCCACTGCAAGTCATTCTGAGTCCTCTCATTGCCTCATCTCTCCCTTTCTAGGCCACTCTGGCACACAGTCAACTATGCAGTCTGAGTGGCCTCGAGGCTGATCGGCACGCGGCCATGGTCAGCACAACCGCCGAGACACCCAAGCGATTCACGCTAACATTCTAGAAACCACGAGGCTGAGGCAGGGCCAGTGGGCGCTGGGGCTCGGAGAGAACGCCCTCCTCGTACTAGAATCTCAGAGAGCGTTGCCGCTGCGCGTGCGCGCGGGAGCCTCGAGGGGGCGCGCGGCGGGAGCTGAGCGGCTGCCCCACGCGCTTGCGTCGCCGGCGTCTCCTTCCGGCTGCCACCACCGAGGCCGGTCCGCATCGCCATGTCGCATTACTGCCGGCCCAAGTACCAGAGCGGAGACCTGGTGTTCGCCAAGTTAAAGGGCTATGCCCACTGGCCGGCCAGGATTGAGCACATGGCCCAACCCAACAGATACCAAGTGTTCTTCTTTGGGACCCACGAGACTGCTCTCCTGGGTCCCAAACATCTCTTCCCGTACAAGGAGTCCAAGGAGAAGTTCAGTAAGCCCAACAAGAGGAGGGGCTTCAGCGAGGGGCTGTGGGAGATTGAGAACAACCCCACGATCCAGGCCTGCGACTACGGAGTCGCTCGAGAGAAGAGCCGCGCCGAGGGTCCAGCGCTGGGGCCGCAGCCCGAGGCCCCTGAGAGCACCGAGGCCCAGAAGAGCGGCACCCAGGGCGGAGGAGAGCAGGAGGAGCCGGGCGTCGACGAGTCGGCCCAGGAGCAGGACGAGAAGGGACCACTGAAGAGGAGCGCGGAGGACCTGCTGGAGGATGACCCCAAACGCCCCAAGGAGGCCGAGCCGGAAGGCGAGGAGGAGGTGGCAGCTGCCAGCGAGGCTGAGAGGCCGGTCCTGGTGGAGGCGTCGGAGCCGGGCCCTGCCTGGGAGCTGCCCCAGGAGGAGCTGGAGCCGCAGAAAGAGGCTGCCAAGGAGGAGGAGGAGGCCGAGGCTCTGGGCGCCGGAGACCACGAGAGCCTGTAATCGCCAAAGTGTCGATAAGAGCCCCTGCCCGTTCCCGCTGCTGCCTGACTGTTAAGGGGAAACTGGCCGTGGCCTATGAACTGGGACCACCTTACCCACCCCCACCCGCTACCTTCCACCCCTTCCTACACACCCGGCCTTGAGATTGACCTGGATGGGCAGGCCATCTGGCCCTCACCTCTGTCCCCATGCCCTGGGACCTGAGTCAGGGCCTCTGCTCCCTGGAATGAGATGAAGCCATCGTGTCCCTTCTTGCCGAAGTCTTCTGTTGGGGCCTGGACTGGCGGTCCCACTTCCCGACACCTGTCTCCCCGACTCCAGGCATTCTGGATCTCTGCGTTGGAATCAGGGGCAATAGTGGAAGTGGTGAGGATAAAGAGCAGGGGAGACTTCTAGAGGCCTGGAAGGGGCACCCTCCAACTGTGGTGGTGGGGAGGTGGCAGGAGAGTGACATCTTCCCCAGCTCCTGTCCACTCCTCCCATGTCTACTATACCAGCTCGTGAGGGAGGGCCTACCTTCCAAAAATTCTTTTGCATACCTAGGGAGTTACGAGTTGTAGTTTTTCGTCAAATGATTTGGGGCCTTTCAAGTTGTTTGTAAGATCAGAAGGCTTAGCTTTGCCCAGCTTTCTGGATGGGAATGGTGAGGGGCACCCTTTCCCATTTAGATCTCTGGGGCGACGCGGGAGGTTCTGGGACGACCCTTGGCCACCCCTTTCCCTCTCCCCACAGCCTTAAGGCCACCCTACAGTCATATGCATCACCCAGCCTTAAAACATAAGGCACATAGTTTAAGAAACCTTTTAAATAAAAGAAATCTTTATGAAAATTAACTACCTTTGAGTATACCTCCAGTGGGCGCCTATCTCTTCCATCGCCCCTCCCCCATTTCCTAAATGAGCTAGAAGGGTCCCCTTCCGGTGGTGGTGGGAGGGGGATTGATGCCTTTCTTTTTGTACTTAAGGCTTTGGTTGGTATTCCTTCGCGGTGTTACTTCCTATCCACATTCCTCAACCTGGTCCCCTCAGTATTTGTCACCAGATCTGATGATGTAACCTATTGAAAAGTCAGGGAAATAAGTGGCCCCTCCTATCCTGTTCCTGGTGGTCTCTCTATGCCCTTCTCCATCTTTTGCCTCTTTTACCCTTGACCTTCTTCCTTGGGCTCTGATGAAAAAATTGTTGACTAGCTAGCTTTGGAAGTTTAGATCTGAATTATTTCAGTTCTAGGAAATAAAACCCGTTGATTAAACAAATCTCAGGTCTGTTCCTTTGGTTTCTGAATAAGTGATCCTTAAATGAAATGCTCCTATGGTTTTCTATCCAGCCTATGTTTAAAAAAAAAAAAGTTATTTGTAATATACAGGGATATTTTAGAATCATCCTTGGTAAACCTCTTATTTTTAAGGTTTCTACTCTTCATCTATAGTAGTTGCTACCACTGATTAGAATGAATGGAAATAAGTCAACTTAAAATATTTGAATGATTACAAACTGAGACAATCATCGAGTTTCTAATATTCTACATGCTTTGCCAAACAATACATCTGGGGAAAAGTAAGGGTAATAGGATTGTTCCTTTTTTGTTGTTGCTTTTCCAGATTTTATCACTACTCTCTTCCAACACATTTTACATAAAAAGGCAGTTCCTTTGGATTTCCAGTTCTTAAAGTATGTAGTAACTGCAGGATATTTTGTGTCTTTTCAGTGGCTTTGTGGGAATATCTGGGGATATTTAAATATACTTAATCACATGCTGGGTTCCAGGTTCTGTATTCATCAACACTGCATGCATGCAGAGGCTTAGTAAATAGTGGAGTCTTTCTCACAGAATATGCCAGGCAGGGTTGGCAACTGAAGATGATCCTATTTCTCCATCACTGTATAAGATAATATTATTTTATTCCAAAGCATGTAAATCAGATGATTCCTTGTTTTTCAACTACTTCTACTGCAATAATATTAATACTAGGAGTTACTGTTCAATGAATGTTTACCATGTACCGAGAAGAATGGCCTCATTCAATCTTTGTAATAATCTGGTGAGGTAGGCATTAGTATTCAAATTTCCCATTGGAAGCAACTGTGGTTCAGAGACATTAAGTGGCTTTTCTTGCAGTCCACAGAACACTCAGGATTCAAATACAGATTTTACTGGTTCAAGCCTAAGCTTTGTCCTTTGAATCGCACATTCAAAATTGTTCTAACCGTGAAATCAGAAGTTAACAAAACTGCTATTTTAGCATTAATAACAAGTAATTATGAGAGTAGCTTATATTGAGCTCGTAAAGTAAGCCAAGCAATATATTATGTTCTACATGTTACGTCTTTATTAATACAACTACCCAATTAGGTGCCTACTATTATCTCTATTTTAAAGCTGAGGGAGCTGAGGTTCAGATATTAAATAATTTTCCCAAGGTCAGATAACAGTAAATGAACCAAGATTTAAAGGCAGGTCTTTCTCATTCTAAATCATAGGTGCTTTGTTTTATTATTGTATTGCTTCCTACTGAATAGAATGGGAGTACTTATTCTCCTCTACTATTTTGAAGTGAACATTTAGAAATTTGTACAGCAAAGAATATATTAACAAATATTGCTAGTGGGTATGTGAATCATTTGAGGCAACTGACAATGGTTTTGTCGTTAAGTGACTTGGTGAAATGATGAGGACAATTCGATATTTTTCAAGAAGTATGTGACAATAGGAAGTTTGAATATGGATTGGTATATTTGCCATAGGCAAACGTGATTTCGATAAGGTTTTTATGGAGGCACATCTCCTAAAATGACTCAATAAACTGAAAGATAGAAAATGAAATTGCTACCATTTGACTCTGTCTCTTCGTATTATTTTTTCTTTTTGTTTCTAATGTTGGGGATAGAAAAGGTTGGTGGTTATTAGGGAGGATCACACACATTTGCCTTCTTGGTGACTATAATATGGCAGTGAAAATGGTAATCAGACTAATAGTACATCTGAAAAATGATTCTCAGAGTTAGCAAACACAAGACCCAATAAAGAAAGGGAAACAGGAAAAACCTGTATTCTCAACTCTCTTATCCTCAGCATTAAACACTATTTGTATGCTTTGATGGCCAAGAAATATTTTTGTGTGGACTGAAAAAGATGATAGTTTCTAAAATGTCTTTGGTTCCCTCCCTGGAATTACAGGGGATAGTTGTGTGTTTTGCTTTCTTCTGAACAACATGTGCCTTAGTGGCAAAATTACTGATCAAATAATTAGTTACTTTACTAGAAAAAAGGCACTGTTCGGACTTTTGCTGATGCTGTGTTATGGGTATTCCAATGTGTTTGTGAGTGTTCTGAAGGTCTTGTTTAAGTATTCCATGTAACTGTGTGCTCACCACATTGTCAGTGACCTGCAGACACATTTAGCATCTGGTTTCTGTAAGGCTTTCGAAGTATTTGATTTCATACAAACATTACTGATTACATCACTTTGGCACAGGGCTAAGATGCCACTGAGGGTAATAAATTCCTTGTCTTTCTTTTAGCTCACACCTGTCTTGTGAATTCTCATCAATGCTGCAGATTCTTCTTTGTAGCTCATACCTCCATTTTATGTTTCCTGAAAATATAGTAGATATCTCGGGCAAATAGCATAACAGTTCATTGAATAGCCATTCTTCTTGGTACATGGTAAACTATTCTATTCAATTATCAACACTCTTCTCAAAGAAAAACTTCTGCTACACATGCTACACACACATGCTGGGCCTGGCCAACTGCTCAAGGTAAGAGTCACCTGCTGTGTTCCTGTATCATTCTATGTTTACACTGATTATATTCTAATTTCCTATTGTTTTTTTGCTCTTCCACTAGGCTGGAGTAGAAAGGTAATATGGTTCATTAATTTTATCCCCATTCCCAAAATGTGACATAACACACAATAGATATTTTCTAAATGTTTGAAAGTCTATTATCAAGTAATCTCTATAATCATAGTGCTGGACTAAAAGTTGTATGTGATGCCAAGCACATCCTGACTGAAAATGGGGAGGCAGTGTAAACTGGCCTGCAGACTAATGACATATGCAGGTTGGGGTGATTTCGTGTCCAGTTAAGTAGCTTCCTAAATTATGTGACTTGAAAAGCATTGATAGTTCTCACAAACCTAGAGATATTGTTCGCTGATGCCAAGGCAATGCTATTTATTTTATCCAGGTTTTCCACTATTTGAGTCACTTGCCTTAGTTAAACCTGCACAGGGCGTCATTTTCATAATGCCTGGGTCCCCAGGTAAGCAAGAGAATATTCTGGCTGCTGTCTTCTTCATACGCGAGCCATGCATTAATCATCCATCCAAAAATTTAAAATAATAAAGTGTTAGTATGCCAAGAACAACTTGGATTTAACATTCTTTCAACTTCTTGTGATATAGAATTGTCTCTTTGTGTAGACATTACTCAAAATGTAATGTATTTAAAGAATGAGTCTATTCACCGCACAATATAGCCTCGATCTCACAAACCAATTATCTGGCTTACTTATAAATGCTTATCTTTCTCACTCCTGGTAGAAAAATTGACAATATTAGACTTGCAGAGCTCTAAAATAGAGACCTTTTGAGTAATTTCTAGAGTAGTTTGACATCAGGCGACTTCTCTTTGCAGTCTGATTTACACATAATCTTCAACTTCATTGAAATGGTCTTGAGAATGCTAGAGGATACACAGCAAATATGACAAAAGACTCTGGACGGCAAGAGGTAACTTGGGGCATGCATTTATCAAGGGTAGTCTTAGTCATAGCATGGCCATGTTATGAAGTGAAAAACAAACTTCATCTACTTCTGGTCCTGGCATGCAGTCAGTGCCCGAGGACTATGGGTCATTTAGTGAGTGCCATTCTCTCTCTCTCTCTCTTTTCAGTTTGATACAAACTCTTCTTTCTGATCAGAAAATTAACACTTCTATGCCCTTTTCCTCTAATGAAGCTTTCTCAAAATTACGCATCAGAATTAGGTATCATAT